GGGAAGTTTCCAACAGATGCATTAGGCAACGATGGCATTTAGAGGAGACGTTTTCTGCTTAAACACTCAATTATGCAAGATTAGCACATCAGCCAACCGAAGCAAGGATAACATACAGCTGCTTCACAACTGGAGGTTGTGCAAACATTGCGTCTTAGTATGATCCAAGGCATGGTCTCCTTTGCACTTCTCTACTCATAACAATACTGTGAGGTTGTTTAGGCTTAAAGATAGTTTCATGGCTTTGTTGAAATTTCTAGCTGGGCCTCCCTAGTGTTGCCTAACATACAAACCACTACTTACCTATCTTGATGTTGAACCCAAAGGTTCTCAGAGCAGCTAGCAACACTCACAATCACTACAGAATTAAAATACAATACAATACAAATATCTGCATAGTTAAAACAATGGTATTTCCCATAGTAACCTATGGATGTGAGAGCTGGACCATAAGGAAGGCTGAGCGAAGGAAGATAGATACTTTTGAACTGTGGTGTTGGAGGAAAATTCTGAGAGTGGACTGCAAGAAGATCCAACCAGTCCATACTCCAGGAAATAATGCCCAACTACTCACTGGAGGGAAGAATATTAGAGGCAAAAATGAAGTACTTTGGCCACATAATGATAAGACAATTAGAGAAGACAATGATACTAGGGAAAATGGAAGTAAAAGGAAGAGGGGCCAACCAAGGGCAAGGTGGATGGATGATATCTTTGAAGTGATTGGCTTGACTCTGAAGGAACTGGGGGTGGCCATGGCTAACAGGGAGCTCTGGTGTGGGCTGGTCTATGAGGTCAGGAAGAGTCAGAAGTGACTGAACAAATAAACAACAACAACAACACCACAAGGAACAGTCAAAAGCAACAGTCATTTAAAAACTTTATTTTAAAAACCCTAGGAATTGTGGGTATTTCACAAAGGGGAAGGTCATTTCTTGCTGGTGCCTCACCCATTAAGAGGAAGTCGACCAAGCAGGACCTCTATGAATACCTTAAAATCTGGATAGGCTCATGTGGAAAACAGTAGTCCTTAAATCTCTACTACTGATGGTGAGTATTGTGTGGAGCACAGCAGTGGATGCCTCCACTGTGGTCCCTCAATCCAGCACTATTAAGAGCAGATTTTATGTTATTATCGATCTGAAAGCACTCTGCCTCTATAAACATATTTGAATACAGCATATAGTGAGCTACAGCCAAAGAGAGAACCCACTTTGTAATCACAATTTTAGCTGCTTCTTCTATGATCACAACAGATTTTTTTTTTGCTCCTGATCATATTGGTATTCTAGGCAGAAGAGTGAGCAAGTCTAATTCTTTAGGGTCAATGAATGCAAAAAAGGAGCTGAATAAAATTCTCCTTCAATTTCCACATGAACAGAGATTAATTATTAAATGCATATATAGGTGACTACGAAGGTCTGAAGACACAGCTCTTGACATTTGGGGTAAGTCAACATTTTTCTGACAGTTTCCACAAAATGTAAGGAAGACTTAACATTCTTTGGATATGCACCAGGAACGTTGGCAAAATGCTTTGTGTGACTTCAAAATTTGCTGGTGTGTGTCGAGAAATATTAGGGAGTATAGCCAAGATGTTTTTGATATTATGGGCCGTGACTGATGCCTCTTGGATGATGAACAGCATAGTTCTTTAGACAGTAAATTGACTGACTTCCTCATTTGAGAAACAGTTCTAATTTCCAACTGCATTTTAATTCCTAACCTAGCTCTCTACTTTTTGACATAGACATCCCTTTGCTTTTTGTATCCCTTACAATAGTACTATTCAAAGAGGTGTTTGATGGACCAATGCTGTTCTGTATGCCTTTGGCTGCCAACATGCAGCAAGTTTCCAAGAAAGTTGTAGCCAGTGGACACAAATATTGTGCAGATTCCTAGCACACTGGACGTGGGTGGGGTGGGGACATCTCCTGATAGGCATAGAAATACAGTGGGGCTATATCAGGCATGGACAATTTTTTTTGCCTTGGGGCCACATTGTGGGTCAAGCCAGGAGGGCCAAGCCAGGAGGGAGAGGGGCCAGGAACAGAGCCCAGGAGAGGGCAGGGCCAGAAGGGGCAGGGCATGGCCTGCGTCATCCACAGGTTGTCCTCACAGCATAAGGACGGGGCTGCATGTCCTATCCTTATGCCAGGAGGAAGGCAGGACACACGCCAACTGCCCTGATCCTCCCCTCCTCCCAGATCCTCTTCCACAACTTCTTCTCCCAATCCTCAGGTTGTCCTCTTGGCATTACGCCAAGAGGAGAGCGGGACAGGCAGCGTTTCAGAGTGCTCCGAAGGGCTCTCAGCCTTGTCTCTTCCTCAAGTCGTCCTCTCGGCATAAGGATGGGGTTGCTTGTACTGTTCTTATGCCAGGAGGAGGAGGAGAGCAAGACACATGGTGACTGAGAGCACTCCAGAGGACTCTCAGCTGCTGTATGACTTCGTCCCTCAACTTTTTGGCATAAGGTGGCAGGCCACCGTGTCCTTATGCCAAGAGGACAGGGAAAATGAGGAGGGCCTGTTCAAGCCCTGCCCAGGATAATCTATTGGAGGAGTTGTGGACATCACAATCTCATGTTACTGTAAGGATGGGAAGTTTCTACTATGTCCATAGCCCCTTCCCAAATATTCAGCACAGTTTAAATAATCCAGCCTGTGTCTATATATAAAATAGAGGGATGTACCCTCTATTTTTGCTTTTCCTGCATGGCAGGGGGTTGGATTACATGGCCCATGTGGTCTCTCCCAACTCTATTATTCTATGATTCTACCAATATATATTCAGACTTACCATAGTCTGAAGAGAAATTTACGATGGAATTAGGACATTTAACCATTTTATTGTCAAAGGCTTTCATGGCCGGAATCACTGGGTTGTTTTGTGTTTTCCAGGCTTTATGGCCATGTTCCAGAAGCATTCTCTCCTGATGCTTCGCCTGCATCTATAGCAGACATCCTCGGAGGTTGTGAGGTCTGACCTCACAACCACTGAGGATGCCTGCTATAGATGTCTGACCTCACAACCTCTGAGGATGCCTGCGAAACGTCAAAGAGAGAAATGTCAGGAGAGAATGCTTCTGGAACATGGTCATACAGCCTGGAAAACACGGAACCACCCATTTAACCATTTACTTTTATTATTTTCTAACAGGAATATTAGAAAAATAACCAGAAAGGATAGACCTAAGTCCTAGCAACATTCTTTGGGTCTGTTGAGCTCCATTTTGAAGGGGAGGGGGAATGGATAGAAATTGGTTAATGCTGTGAAGACTTCAAGAGAGAGAGCTCCTGTCTTTTATCTTTCAAGTCAGATGTTTCAAACTCTATGTTGCATTAAAAGCCTCAGCAGGAGTTGTGCTGTGATTTATTTTATCTTAAAAGGAAAAAATATTGATAAGGTTTAGCAGACAGGGGATGTTACTTTTCTAAAGGTAGAATAAAGAGAACCTTAGTCAGGCTTTTAAGTAAGATTAAAGAATTCTGACTTAATATATATACCTGAGGGTAGGTTTGGAAAATATAAACTCTTGAGGTATTTCTTTGCTAATGTTAAAAGAAGCAGAAGTAAACTATTTGTGGGACATTTATTTATTATTATTATTATTGTTATTATTATTAATTTATTTACTGTATTTATACCCCGCTTTTCTCAACCCCGAAGGGGACTCAGAGCGGCTTACAGATTATGGCAACATTCAATGACGCATCATGCAACAAATAATAAATAGAACATATCAAATTATAAAACATGTAAAACATATAAATGCAATAAAACATATTAAAAATAGTTTTAACAGATCAGATGTTTCATCAGGGGAAGAATGAGATGCCACATCGGGGTGGCAGTGTTCACTCAAGAGAGGGCTCAGGTGAATCAAGGGCCATGGCTGGAAGAAGCAAATGTTGGTATCTCTGTGCTGACCCAAGGATGCTCCAATGGAGGCCAGTCAAGATAGAGTCCAGCAGCGCCAAGTGGCCCCCAGAAGTTGAGTGAGTCCCTAGAAGCTGAGCCAGAGGCAGCAAAGGAAACAAACACTGCCCCTTCCCTCAAAGCCCCTGGTGATGTCACCTTCACTTCTTGCTTAGGCCTAAGGCCCTGAAGGCGAGGTTCTTTTTATGTCCCAGCCTCTGGAGCAAGCAGGTGTTGCTAGCCTTGAGTTGCAGAGTCAGGGCCTCGGTTTTGCCAGGAGTGAGTCTACAGGAGCTGAGCCAGAGGCAACAGGAGAAACAAACGCTGCCTCTTCCCTCAAAGCTCCTGGTGATGGTACCTTCACTTTCAATGCCTTATGAAATAGCTTCATAAGATCTACAAAGACACTTGCAGAAACATCTCAGCAAGAGTCCAAAAGTGGCAGGCAAAACCCCAGAACCTCAATAAATGACTGATACCAGATGAGAGACTCCCCCTGGGCACACAGAAGAGTGGGCAACCTGGAAGGTGCTGAATAGGCCATGCTCTGGGACCATGAGATGTAGCCAACCTTAAGAAATGGGGCTACAAAGTGGAGTCCAAGATATGTGAGTGTGGAGAAGAGCAAACCACAGACCACCTACTACAATGCAACCTCAGCCCTACCATATGCACAATGAAGGACCTCCTCACAGTGACACCAGAGGCACTCCAAGTATTCAGCTTCTGGCCAAAGGACATCTAGCATAATGCCAAATTTTTAACATTCTTTGTGTTTTTAAATATATTATAACTGTACCCTCAATTTGCTTCTGGCATGATAAATATAAATATCAGTTTTCAATCCAAATTCTTCAGAGAAACCAATCTTCCATATATGTGTCTGCAGTCCTAAGCATGCTTAGGAGCAACATGCCTTAATTCAAAAGTATTTATGTTAGAGATTATGTCTGAAACATGCACAGTATCAGGCTATATACAATTTTTTTCCTCCTATAGCTTCTATTCAGTTAAAATAGGGGAGAAATGCTGCAGAAACTTGATTCATCAATCTGTTGAAAAATACGTCCTAGTACAACACATTATTCCATTTTAAACAATTCAGTTTTATTTTACTTTCCATTTATATGGTTTTAAAGCAGTGAACATAAATAACAATACACTCCAAATGGTACAAAAACACATAGAATATTGGCTACCAGTAGAAATATCGATAGTATAAGGCACTGAGAGAAGGAACAAAGGGAAAGAACTGGTTCTTCCAACTCAAAACATTTGCCCATTTTGAATGTGTTCATCTATCATACACTTACAAAAGCCAAGTTACATTCACGTATGTGCATATTGCTCTTAACAATTCCCGAAAGAGCAATTTCTTTCACATTTAGGCCAATGGCAAAAACTACATTACTCTGAAAACTAATGGAGTGGTTAAACATGTATGAAAACAAGTATGGCTTTAAGATCTCGTATTTGGTATAGCAAGAAACATTACACTGAAGTTTTCAAATCTGCATTCAAGTCAACACATGTTGTTATAAAAGTCAGAATGTCACGTCAAATTCATTATTAGAGCTGCACTGAATTTTTACCCACCAAATGGGCTGGGGGGGGGGGGATGGAGAGTTTGCAGTGATGGTGGAGGTATGAATGCTTAAATGAATGCTTAGTTTATCTTTTATGTACTATACGCCATCACCTATAGTGGTTTCCTGTTCTGTGATATTAATGCCCTTTAAAAACAACCATGGGATTATTCTGAAATAATTCCATGAATGTTCTAGTGGGTAATGTGGTGCTATAGTATTGCTATGTAGGTACATTATGGCAACAAATCAGAGGGAAGGAAAGGTTTCTACTACTGCTCTGAAGAAGCAAGCAATTTCTCTCAATTTTGCAGGTCCTACTTCAAAAAATTACTGAAATCAGTGTTTGTTTCTGTGTGGGGAACCACCTCTAATTTGTGAAATATGTCCCCCACCCCGACTAGCTTAGCCTAACTCTCAACAAAACTAAATTATACAGGAAGGGAAAGTGAAGCAATTTTCAATATGTAGCATTTGACATAAAATTTTAACTGGAACCCCTGGTGGCACAATGAGTTAAATCCAGCAGGCCAGCAGTTCAAATCCAGGGACAGTGGAATGAGCTCCCTCTGTCAGCTCTAGCTCCCCATGCAGGGATGGTAAGAGAAGCCTCCCACAAGGATGGTAGAACATCAATCATCCGGGTGTCCCCTGGGCAACGTCCCTGCAGACGGCCAATTCTCTCACACCAGAAGCGACTTGCAGTTTCTCAAGTCACTCCTGACAGGAAAATAAAACATACAGTATTGCAGTGAAAAATATAAACATAGCCAGTGACCTTCAATTAATATGAATATACTCAACTATACCAGGTACATACACCAAAGGCACATAGAAAAGAGATTTATACACATGTTAATTTCAGAAAATGTAAGGGGTATTTGTTAACAGATCCAGACTTTCTGAAAAGATCTGTTTTTAATCAGGGTTTCTGAGTGTAAGTAGTCAGTGACATCTTGTAGCCATAGATAATTTTCAATTATCTATAAATTATATTTGTTCAAAAGTGTAAGTCGACAAGAGGGAAGACTCGGTTGTTGTGAGTTTTCCGGACTGTTCCTGAAGCATTCTTTCTTAATGTTTCACCCTATTTTCCTAGTTTCCAACAGACCTCACAACCTCTGAGGATCCCTGACATAGATGCAGGTGAAACGTCACGAGAGAATGCTTCGGGAACATAGTCATACATCCTGGAAAACTCACAACAAGCCATTGATTCCGGCCATGAAAGCCTTCGGCAATACAAGAGAGAAGACAATGACAACTAACACTTTCTCTAGAATAGTGGTTCCCAACCTTTGGTCCTCTAGGTGTTTTGTACTTCAGCTCCCACAATTCCTACTAGCTGATAAGATGGCTGGGATTTCTGGGACATGAAATCCAAAACAACTAGAGGACCAAAGGTTGGGAAGCACTGCTCTAGAATACTTAACACACAGTGATAGTGAGTTCCCTTATCTTTCCAGATCAGAGATACGTACAGATGAAGAACCAAAAAAATTCTTAACAACTTAAAGGAGTTTGACATATTTCATTCCTAGGCACACACCTCCCCGCAATATGCCACAAATAATCAGAAAAAGGAGAGGGAGTAAGGGTGACAAAGAGAAGACAAAGACAGACAGGTTGTTGATGCTACTTTTTAAAAATAATTTCTTAGTTTTTGACAGATGATGGATGGATGGCTACCAAAGTCTAAAGCCAAATTATACAAACCCTAAACCTAATAAACAAACATATATACGATCATGTATATATGTATTCTGAATGGAGACAATCAGGGTATGATCCAGTACCACTGTGGACACAATATCTGTGGTGTCGATTCCCATAGGGATCAAAGCAGCTCTTGCCCCACTCCCTCCAGTTGGTACATGAACCCAGCATGCAAACTGATAAAGAGTGTTACAAAGAACAAAAGGTCTAAGCCTACTTCCCACATTACGTACCTGCTCTTCCTCATTATGTGATACATGTTACTGGTGCTTCAAAGAATGTATGCCAAAAATGATACTGGAACATGACTTTACAATTCTGTACAACATTCTGTAGCAAACCATTATAAATACAATAACCAATTCAGTGGATGTTAGGCTTACACAATGTTTAAATATTAAAGTATTTACAGAATTACAAGTCCTCCCTAAGATGCCTGTCAGCATCTTGCAATTCTCTCACGTTTGGTGCCAGCCACTGGAAGTATACTTTCACTGGATCAACATTCCAGTGTTTGTGAAATGATATTGGAACTTGATGGGAAAGATAGTCCTTCGAGTAATCCATTGGCCGAGCCTAGAATAGCAGAAGAGAGAAAAATTCCACTTAATATGAAAACTTCAATCACATTTAAAAAAAATATATTGTTGTGTAAGATTCAATTATAGACAAACCAGATACATAAAGATCACATGAAGATATTTAAATCCTAGGTACATCAAAGGGGTAAATACTGCATGAAAGAGAGCACTAGCAGACACTGTGTTATCTTTACCTTATTCAGGCATTTGGAGGGATGGGTGGGAACATGGGTCCACACATAATCCCTGCCCCCAGTTCTGCAAAGAACTTGGATTTTTGTATGCTAGCCAGAAAGATCTCACAAAGGCTATTTAGTGCAGGATGGAGGATCTGCGGTGGCATAATAATAATAATAATAATAATAATAATAATCCTTTATTTATACCCCGCTAACATCTCCTGAAGGACTCGGTGCGGCTTACAAGAGGCCGAGGCCCAACACATCAATAAAACAACAGTATAACAAATACAACAATAAATAAACTCATAAAACAAGCAATAAACATTAAAACAATAGCAATAAGCATTACACAATAACACCATGACACATTTAAAACTAATAATGGGTTAAACTCTTGTGCCGGTTGAACTGTTGACCTGAAGGTTGGCGATTCAAATTTGTAAGACGGAGTAAGCTACCGTCTGTCAGCCCCAGCTTCCCATGCAGGCATGAGAGAAGCCACAGGGCAGTAACACATCCGGGCATCCTCTGGGCAACGTCCTTGCAGGCAGCCAATTCTCTCACACCAGAAGTGACTTGCAGTATATTCTCAAGTCACTTCTGACACTACAAAAAATGCAGTATGGTCCCCCGGTTCTTAATCTTATCAGCGTTTCCAGAGCACAGGAGTTTCGTTACAGCATCCAGCTACATTCAGAGTGCCTAATTTGCACTTTCATTTTCCCATGATTCTCCAGAGTTTCTATCCCCAAGTTTCAGTATCTTACATATAAAGGGGCAGCGATGGCTGCTGGTTGGGATCCCATGTGTATGCACCATCCACAACTGTCTTCAGTTTTAAATGTACATGCACTGAAGATAATGTCTAAACAGGGTTTATGCAGACCCCTGTGTCTGCACAATGTGAAATGGAGCTGGTGGTTTTTGTTGTTTATTTGTTCAGTTGCTTCCGACTCTTCGTGACCTCATGGACCAGCCCACGCAAGAGCTCCCTTCTGGCTGTGGCCACCCCCAGCTCCTTCATAGTCAAGCCAGTCACTTCAAGGATACCACCCATCCATCTTGCACTTGGTCAGCCCCTCTTCCTTTTTCCTTCCATCTTCCCCAGCATCATTATGTTCTCCAAGCTTTCCTGTCTTCTCATTATGTGGCCAAAGTGCTTCATCTTTGCCTCTAATATCCTTCCTTCCAGTGAGCAGTCGGGCTTTATTTCCTGGAGTATGGACCGGTTTGATCTTCTTGCAGTCCAAGGCACTCTCAGAATTTTCCTCCAACATCACAGTTCAAAAGCATCTATCTTCCTTCACCCAGCCTTCCTTATGATCTAGCTCTCGCATCCATAGGTTACTATGAGGAATACCATTGCTTTAACTATGCGGATATTCAATATGTGGGGATCTTCATTGCCAGTATGATGTCTCTACTCTTCACTATTTTATCGAGATTGGTCATTGCTCTCCTTCCAAGAAGTAAACGTCTTCCGATTTCCTGGCTGCAGTCTGCATCTGCAGTAATTTTCGCGCATCAAAATACAAAGTCTGTCACTGCCTCCATGTTTTCTCCCTCTATTTGCCAGTTATCAGTCACTCTGATTGCCACAATCTTGGTTTTTTTATGTTTAACTGCAGCCCAGCTTTGGAGCTGGTGGTAAGCTAGTCTTATTCCATTCCACCATTGCACACTGGATCTGAATATCTACATACGGCTGATATAATAGAGTTACCATATACAAAAGAGAGATAACACATTTACCAACTTTTTCAAGCCATCGATCATTATGATGTCTCTCACTTTAAACACTCATATTATTTCAGCTGTTATAATGTCATAGCTGGCAAGATGACAATGAAGAGGCAGCATTAGCAGGCGGGAGACAAAGAAGTAATGAACATTTTAAAAATAGTAATATTTTAAAAATCTGCCTGGACTAAAATTTCCAAAAAGGGACACATCTGAGGAAAGGAGAACATATAGTACACTTAAGTTGGAACAACATTGCTTTTCCCTCTCCCTGCATGTGTCCTAAATACAATGAAAACATTCAACTTGTAAAGAGTTTTAAGGACCATGAAGTTACTAAACCCATTATCACCTAATCCATAAAATTGTAAAACTGTTCTATTGACCAAGAAAGGTTTATGTTCTGAAAGAAGCAGCAGCAATGAAAAGCTCAGCTTCTTTTGCATCAAGGGACTGCAGGTAACAAAGCACAGGTTTGTTTGTTCTTTTAACAGAGCTTAGTGTTGTGAAATGGGACTATTGTGCAATTAAGAGCCCAATTACAAGATTTCAACTAGAAAACTGTTGGGAGTACTCATTCAAAATAAGTATTCTTTTATTGATACACACATCACATTGTGCTTTTCTCATCTCAGTGGGGACATATTAATGCTCCTCCCTGGAAGCTGGGACTGAATCATGTAAGCATATACTATGTGTTGGCCACAGAAAAATCTTTATGCTAGCAACATCCATGTGCAAACATTATGTGGCAAGAATTGCTTCTAAATGTCAAGATTCCTTAGATTTTCAGATGCCCATGCCACACATGATAAAGTGCCTTGCAGAAGCAATTACATGCACCCTTTGGCTTTTCCACATTTCACCATGTTTCCGCCTGGAATTGTATTGGCATTGCTACGACATCATTTGTACAAGATGCTCAGCATTGGGAATGTGTAAAATGTTTTAACCATGGTAAAAACAACTATTACCTGTATACGTATTCACCTCCTTTACTGGGACACACAAAAGTACAGTGTGGTAGAAAAATACTGCCTCCATAGGTCGCAGAAGTAGTTGAAGTGCGAAGAAAGATTTGGGATAAGGGTGGAGATTCATCTTCCTGCTAAACTATGACCATAATCAGAATATGTGGCAAAATCTGAAAGCTGTTGTTCACCAAACAGTGCACCTGTCAGAACTGCAGTAATTTTCTTGGGGAATAATTGCAGGATCCAGGAGTGCAAAGCCTATACAAGACTTAAAAAATAAATGTTGTCAAAAGTGCTTTTAGCAAGTACTGCAAGTCGCTTCTGGTGTGAGAGAATCAGCCATCTAGAAAGACATTGCCCAGGGGATGCCTGGATGTGTTTCAAATCCTGCAGGGAGGCTTCTCCCATGTTCCCTTGATTAGCATTTAATGGTCTTTCAGCTTCTTCCTGCCTGGGGGTCCTTTGTTGGGAGGTGTTAGCTGGCCCTGATTGTTTCCTGTCAGGAATACCCCTATTTTTTTAGTGTTCCTCTTTTACTGTCCTGATTTTAGAGTTTTTAAATAGTGGTAGCCGGACTTTGTTCATTTTCATGGTTTCTTCCTTTCTGTTGAAATAGTCCACATGACTGTCGATTTCTCTGTGTAGCCTGACATGGTAGTTGTTAGAGTAGTTCAGTATTTCTGTGTTCTTAAATAATACGCTGTGTCCATGTTGGTTCATCAGGTGCTGTGCTATGGCTGACTTCTCAGGTTGAATTAGTCTGCAGTGCCTTTCGTGTTCCTTGATTCATGTTTGGGCAATGCTACATTTGGTGGGCTCTATCTAATCTTGTCCAAACATCCCAACAAAGAATCCCCCAAGGCAGCAACCAGCTAGGCTTTGAAGCTACAAGGCCATTAAATGGTAATCAAGACGGCAAATTGCAACATTCACATTTGCCTCAAACAGACAAGAATTCTTTCTCCCACCCTGGACATTCCACTATATAAACCTCACTTGCCTAGTTTCCAACAGACCCCTTAACATCTGAGGATGCCTGCCATAAATGTGGATGAAATGTCAGGAGAGAATGCTTCTGGAACATGGCCAAACAGCTCAGAAAACTCACAGCAACACAGTGATTCCGGCCATGAAAGCCTTTGACAACACACCTTATTTTTGTTTAGGTAAAGATAAAGGTTTTCCCCTGACATTAAGTCCAGTCGTGTCTGACTCTGGGATGAGGTGCTCATCTCCATTTCTAAGCCGAAGAGCCGGCATTTTCCATAGACACCTCCAAGGTCATGTGGCCAGCATGATTGCATGGAGCGCCGTTACCTTTCTGCCGGAGCGGTACTTATTGATCTACTCACATTTGCATGTTTTTGAACTGCTAGGCTGGCAGAAGCTGGGGCTGATAGTGGAAGCTCACGCTGCTCCTCGGATTTGAACCTGCGACCTTTCATAGAATCATAGAATCATAGAATCACAGAGTTGGAAGAGACCTCATGGGCCATCCAGTCCAACCCCCTGCCAAGAAGCAGGAATATTGCATTCAAATCACCCCTGACAGATGGCCATCCAGCCTCTGTTTAAAAGCTTCCAAAGAAGGAGCCTCCACCACACTCCGGCAGAGAGTTCCACTGCTGAACGGCTCTCACAGTCAGGAAGTTCTTCCTCATGTTCAGATGGAATCTCCTCTCTTGTAGTTTGAAGCCATTGTTCCGCGTCCTAGTCTCCAGGGAAGCAGAAAACAAGCTTGATCCCTCCTCCCTGTGGCTTCCTCTCACATATTTATACATGGCTATCATATCCCCTCTCAGCCTTCTCTTCTTCAGGCTAAACATGCCCAGCTCCTTTAGCCGCTCCTCATAGGGTTTGTTCTCCAGACCTTTTATCATTTTAGTCGCTCTCCTCTGGACACATTCCAGCTTGTCAATATCTCTCTTGAATTGTGGTGCCCAGAATTGGACACAATATTCCAGATGTGGTCTAACCAAAACAGAATAGAGGGGTAGCATTACTTCCCTAGATCTAAACACTATGCTCCTATTGATGCAGGCCAAAATCCCATTGGCTTTTTTTGCCGCCACATCACATTGTTGGCTCATGTTTAACTT